GGAGTCTATGATGAACATAGTATCTTTTCCAGGTTGAGGTTCAGCTGCGACTGCAGTCATACGCTCACCAGTGAAATGATGATCTCGGTGGTCGAAAAAGTGCGAACAGCACCTCCTGTTTGCATCGCCCAGACGCCTCTAACTTCCGGTACATGAAATGGTACCCATCGATGGCTTTGAACGGGGTTCAGCAGCGTATCACATGCTCCACAGACGACCTTACCACAGTCACTAACTTTGTCCTTCATCAAACGATTCCCTGAGGATTTATGGCAGCTTGCAACTTTATCGCCTAGCAGTGTTATACTTCTCCATATCCGCTATCGTCCTCTAACCAACTGAGCTTCCCGGCGGATTAGACGCCATGGGGCCCGTTGGGCATGACAGCTTGCACTTGTAAGTTTAATTTATGAGCCTCTGCAGATGTTGTTGCGGTGGCTCTTTGATTTATGGCCATCGCGGATAAACGTTGCTCAGCAAAGCGAGTCATGGCCGTTGGCCGTTCAAGAAGCACTGCGAAGGTTGGAAACAACTGGACAGCTTTTGAACCGCCCATTATTCCATTACGATTGGACACCACATCGACTTCAAGTGAACAAGACCCGTTTCGATGTCATCGAACATTCTCGAAAGGGTCCTGTTAACAGCATACCTGACTCAAGACTCAGACAAAGGAAAAAGTTATGAATCGGGAGTGCGGGCCAGAAACGTCCAAAGCATGAATTAGTATAGAGAAACGTTTCGCAACGTCGAAGCCACTCCGACCTGATGTAGAGAAACCCAGGGCCATTTCGTTAGTACCTCAAGAGTGCAAGACGGCAGATGTTCAAGACCAAGCTTGTTGACCAGAGTTATATTAACATAAAATATGATTATTGACCTCTACTTAGAGAAGTAAGGGAATATCGGTTAGTTTTATTGTTCGGCTGATGAAGACTAGAAACTCCAACCGAAACCTGGTCCTATTGGAACAGAAGATTTTCATGTATGAATATTTAAGGTTAAAGATTTAATCGTTGTTCATCGGTTGCTTTCCACGTTTACAGTTGGCAAGTTATTAAGCCAATAAAGTGAACTGCAGCCGCTTATAGTGTGTGGATACAGCGGCAGGTCAATAAGTCCCGTAAATTGTGAAAAGACTTCGCTTGTGATCGACTTGCCATTCGTCTTTCGATGATTGCCTTAGGCGCAGAGTTGGATAGAAATTTCGTTTGTACAAATTAGCATTTAATATGAAGTATTCTGAAAATATGTTGGATCTAAACCGATGGTTCTGGAACATGTCGTATGCAAAAATCTTCCAAATTCAAAATATTAAATTAATATAATCTTTCAAGCTAGTCTCACTAACAACGGTATCAAAATGTTGTCTGTTAATCCATACCTCTGAACACTGACTCTGGCTAACAGCTCTGGCTTCAGACAGAAATGAGGTAATCAAAACAGAAATAGGCTATGAATGTAAATATTATGCATGCGCACGAAATGGGTTGCTTATACAGAAATTTTAGGGTACAAAGTCACTGACACTATGCGGAAAGGTGTCGTGGACGTTGCAGTGTACAATAATAGTACCGCAGAGCTTATGATTGGACAACTGTCTACGCTAACAGGTAAAAAATGTTTGTGTTCAATAATTCGATTATGTTCTGAAGAGTGTTGCACCTTCCAAAGTAAACATTACGTTTATTCTTTCCATGTAGAATGATTTTAAATGTAGCCTTCTTAGGCAAAGATCTATTGTATAATGGACTGCAGTTTTTCGAATAGTTATTAGCATAATTATTTTATATTTAATGTTTGCGATATTTAATTTATTGTCTGACGCGTCTGCCTCCGCGACCCGAAAGGAAAAGCGGTCTTGAAAGATGAAGGCATTTAATTTAATAATCGTTCACCATGGATCGGAAATAAAATTACCAATCACCTGGATTAAGATTGAGGAATAAAAATACCATCTCAAGAAAACAAGTTAATTCTAATTTCGAAAGCTTATAGCTTCATAAGCTAATTTTTATTTCTATAAGCAAAAATATTCTCGTCACGTTTCTCTGGCGCACCCGGCCAGTGCTGACCCACGAATAACCGCAGCAAAAGGTGTTCCGCTGTCGTCATACAAGAACGGGGGGGGGGCATGCCATGCGGTCTGATGCGAGCGTCCACTCAAGCTGGAGTTTACCTGGGCCCGTCTGATAGCTGACCATCCGATATGATAATCAGTATAAGGTTTAAACAAAAGATGTTTGTTTCCTTATGATTCATGACTTCAGTATACTGGTCTATTCCCAGTGGTTGTGCAGCGTCGGCAACTGCCAGGCCCAATGACCTTCTCTGTCGGAACAACGCTTCACGAAACAAGTCATAGCAGCGATGTATCTGACAGATTACGGTAACATATGCGCATATCGCAGATTTTCCGACGCTGGTCGGTTCTTCAATAAAGATGAATTTCCGGTTGCCTTGGAAAAGACTTCTGGCTGACTTCCGGTTTTGGAATGCCCAATCGCCGTGAGCAGAAAGCGTTTCTTTGCGATCATCGAAATTCCAGGTATCGGCCTGGAATGTTGCGTCGGCCAATCGCTGCCATTTCAGCAAGGCAGGTTTTTCCCTCGAATATTTTAGGCCCGTTCGAATTCCGCGGCTGTTCTGACACACAGTAATTATCTTCACAATCCTCATGTGCGCCTTATAACATACAAGCCGCGATACTGCCATTCGCGCTTAGTAAAATATGACTCTGCTCTTTGATAGTGTTAATCTCCAAAACAGAGGCATAAACGAATATCCGTTGTTTCGTTGGAGTGTGCACAGCTTCATATGGTTTGTTTTCAGGATGCGGAGTATGGCTTTTGATCGCCACCTTGATGAAACTGCCTGTCTCTACGACACATAGCATCGTTGGAGCTACCGTAGGCTATAGTTTGGTATTACGAGGAAAAACCGGCATTCACTGGTCTGAAATAGGATACATAGGTATTGAATGCGTCTCAGTTTCTACTTAACCGTGGTTAGACGAGATCTGAGTTCGTTAAGAATAATATTTTGCTGAAATTAACTTCGCTGTCGAATAAACTCATCACAAGACACGCTGTGCCAATGTAAATGATCTGCCTCGAATTGTCTTGGCAAATATTTTAATATTTTTTTCGCTCACTCGCTTTATGAGCCTGAAAACAGAATAAATGAGGATTATTTCTGCTCTGCTCAAATAGTTTTGTCAGTCGAATGGTGAAACAGCATCGACGTTTCAGTCACTGTCTCACGGCCCTTATTTACGATAGAAATGTTGACTGATATTGGAAGTCTTTTTGTCATTCGCAGCTGTTGGTTGGCCACCTGGTTCCAAGCTGGTGAACAGCTGCGATAGACAAGAAAACTTCCTACTTCCAAAGCCAAGCCCACATCTCTTCCTTGAGGAAGCCCATGCAAGACTCGGGCTGCAACGCCGGCACTGGTCGATTATTCGTCTGATCAGCTAATTTTCATTGGGTACAGAAAAATCGTGTCTTTCGCTGCTTTCAGTATGACTACCAAGGAAGTACTGGAATTTTATTAGTCTGGGATATGAGAGGGAGAGAATTAATTTATATGATGGATAAAGAGGGGTCGGGGAGCATACCGCAATTCATCAGCAACGTAATATTTAGCTTCACAGACGACGCCTCAAGTAAAAGCGTCTACGATTTATCCTTGGATCTCATCGGCGACAGGTACGCAGTTCCGTTTCAGAAGTTGAACTTCACGGTCATGCACGTAATGAATTAGGAATATTACGTAAGATGTAGATTTTGCAATGGGATTTAGTAAAGTTATCTCTCGTAGTCAATAACCTCGATATAGTGACAGCAGTCACTGTATAAAGGGTGGGTTCCGAATTAGTCGAAATTTTCTTGCCAGCGTACGACCGTCGTTCACAGCTCATTTTAAAATCTGCTCTATCAGGTGTTGAAAGTCTGTTCCACTGATAGAGGGCCAACATTTCGAGCAGTTCTCTCGGGAAACGATGATGGCAATCTTTTTAAGTTAAAAAATACCTTGGAGGTGTACAGAGGAGTAGTGAGTGATGGAACGCAGCTCTGCGAATGAGCTTGATCCTCAAGCGGATATTTCAACGCGTTTCGTTCCTCGCTTTGATCATTGTGAGGCGCGGTGTCACACTCAGAGGTCAGAGGTCGGCTTTGAACACCGCCGGTAGCGGTTTCGAATTCTGATGAGGACGAAATTCTCCTAAACGCAATTTTTCGAGCAAGGAATTGACCGCATATCAGCCGAGTGACTGGCAGTAATTTGTTGACTTATGAACAATAGATGGCAGCATGGTGTTCTGACGGGTCATCCTAGAATATCCGAGAGGTACAACGACATCTGTCATGCAAACGCCTGTTTGGTCTGCAATTCGCCTTGACACACCTGGTTGCTGACTAATCATCGTAATGCTCAGCGTAAGGGGTAACCCTGGCTGATGTTTGAACGAAAGACTCTTTATATGCATCTGGCAAACGATACTGAATTTTGCGTATCCCATGATATGCTACCATTCAGTATAATACCGCGTTATTTCAATTCCGCGTCCTCTGTAAAAGTTATACTGCTGAGGGTAATCTTCCAAATTTCTGATTTCTGACTGAGCCCCCCCCACCCATGAAGGGATTTACAGAAGATGCAGCCCTTTGATTTTGCGGTGTTGATTTTCAGACCTGTTTCAGAGTTCTTTGACCCTCGAATTAGTTCTTTGCCAACGTTGCTGAAAATTATCTTCTGGCTGGTGAATTGCCGATTCTATTCTAGTATCATTGGTATGCGTCAGTGTTCGCATCGTACAAATACCTTCAGTTGCGGTTCAGCCTTTTCTAACATCCAAGAGAAACAGGGGTGGCAGAATAGAGCCCGTACTACGCCGAATCCATACAATTTCTATCTGAATTCTGAATCTCTGACAAATTAAGAGTATAGTCGAAAACGTGGCAAACAAGTGAATATTGTGTGTGCTGACCTCTTTCGAAAGGTTACATCACAACAGACTATAACGAGGTTTCGTATTGGAGGCTGAACTGAAGTCAACAAATACTGACATGAGAGGTATGAATCTAAGGGTGACAAATTCTATGAATACTGCTCACGCTGTGTAGCTAATATGCCCACCATGGGAGCGAGCGACGACGCCAGTCAAGCAGAATGGGACGCCACAGGACCTTGTCCTCATAAACAAGGACCTCACCTTCAACCTGACAACAGAACCCTTGTCATCGACACTTGGCAAGCCTAGAACGGTAGACGATACAC